GGTTGGAGGGTGCCACTGGTAGGTCCTACTTCTTTGCTTTCCCTCTGCTGTTTCTGTCTGTGTGTGTGGGTGGTTAGAGGGTGCCACTGGTAGGTCCTACTTCTTTACTTTCCCTCTGTTGTTTCTGTCTGTCTGTGTGGGTGGTTGGAGGGTGCCACTGGTAGGTCCTACTTCTTTACTTTCCCTCTGTTGTTTCTGTCTGTGTGTGTGGGTGGTTAGAGGGTGCCACTGGTAGGTCCTACTTCTTTACTTTCCCTCTGCTGTTTCTGTCTGTCTGTCCGAGTTTTTTCTCAGCCCTAAACGAAAATTATGTCCGTGACCTACTTTTTTTTTTCAACAGTAAAGGAAAATTATTATATTAATGTGCTTCTCTTTATTACTTCATTCAAACTCAACCTCAAACAAATAAAGAAACAAACAAATAAACAAACAAATAAACAAACAAATAAACAAACAAATAAACAAACAAATAAATAAACAGGACCACAACAGCTACTCATGTCTCTACATAATACATAATGCTTCACAGGAAGTTCAGATAGTTTCAGAATGCAATCAGGTCTGCTGGGTAAATAATATAGATTGTAAAGCACATACACAGACTTTGCTGTTGGGAGGGAATTTGCGCTATACAAATGTTGTATGTTATTATTATTACATTATGCAGAAGTCAAAACGTAGAATGAGCTGGCCTCCGCCCACCAACTGACTGAGCTGATCAGTGTTGACTCTTCCTCCAATTCGCTCCAGCCTTGTCAGCTCCAGCCAGGAAGGAGAATCTCCCCTGAGATTGATGTCGTTAGTCCCCAGCTCCCAGTCCCCTCCTTTCTGCTTTTGGTTAACGACCGTCACCGTAACTCTGACCCTGACACCTGTGTCCCTCACACACCTCGCTCTGTCCAAACCCCCCAAACCGACAAACGATGCGTCCTCTTCACTCCCCTCATCTCTGAGGCAGCCACATTTACGAAAATCCAGATACTGATACAGACCCTCCGAATAGCTACCCAAAGATCCAAACTTCACCACAGCCCTCACTTCCGGCCTGCCTCGGCCGATGTGCCATACGTCACTGTACCTGTATACATCCCCACCTTTCACACACTTTGCATTGTCCCCCACACAGCAAATGTAGCTATAGGATACCTCAAGCGGCCCACAAAGCCCCGGAACACTCATGACCCCTTGGCCACCTGTCGCCCCTTGACCACCCGTCGCCCCTTGACCCGACTTTTTCACACTTGACTGCCTTATCAAATTATCTTGAGGTTGTTGGTTGCTTTTCTTTAAAATTTTCTGCACGCTTTGTAACGTGTCTGTTTGTTTGCTTGTATCTTCTTGTAGCTGATTTAGTTGTGCGGCCATGGATGTGCTTAATTTACTCACGTCTTCTTTCAGTTTGGTATTCATGTAAACTGACAGATTTGTGGCTCTTTTCACCTCCTGGGTCAACCCCTCCATTCTTCGGTCTAACTTAACTAACTTGTTCGACAGTTGCTCCGTCCAAGATCGGACACCTGTAACCACTGCCGACAGTCCCTCAACACCTGACGTCACCGTTGCTAACCCTGACTTCAAGACATTTTCTGCGTCTTTTAGTTGCTCTTGACCTGCGGAAGAAACGGTTGGGGGCTGGGCTGGGATTGCTGTGGACTCCGGTTCGCGCCCGGTTCTGACCTCACAGTCCTGAGCGCCTGATGAGAAGGGTAAGTTCCTTGCCAGAAGGTCCTCCACTCTCTCTAGTCGACCATCCTGAAGATCCTCTTGGACTTCTATCTTCTGTACCCTCGCCTTCACATCTTTGAGGGTGAGAAGAATTTCGTCTGGAACAACAATTAAATAGTTAGAATGTATACACATGCCTAGTTAGTTAGTTTGTCTGTTTGTTTGTTTGTTTGTTTGTTTGAGTAAAGATTTGTTTGTTTGTTTGTTTGTTTGAGTAAAGACTTTGTTTGTTTGAATAAAGATTTTTTTGTTCGTTTGAGTAAAGATTTGTTTGTTTGAGTAAAGATTTGTTTGCTTGAGTAAAGATTTGTTATCTTGAATAAAGATTTGTTTGTTTGTTTAGTTTGAGTAAAGATTTGTTTGTTTGTTTGTTTGAGTATAGATGTGTTTGTTTGTTTGAGTAAAGATTTGTGTGTTTGTCTGTTTGTTTGTTTGAGTAAAGATTTGTTTGTTTGTTTGAGTAAAGATTTGTTATCTTGAGTAAAGATTTGTTTGTTTGAGTAAAGATTTGTTATCTTAAATAAAGATTTGTTTGTTTGTTTAGTTTGAGTAAAGATTTGTTTGTTTGTTTGAGTATAGATTTGTTTGTTTGTTTGTTTGAGTATAGATTTGTTTGTTTGTTTGAGTAAAGATTTGTTTGTTTGAGTAAAGATTTGTTATCTTGAATAAAGATTTGTTTGTTTGTTTCTTTGAGTATAGATTTGTTTGTTTGTTTGAGTATAGATTTGTTTGTTTGTTTGTTTGTTTGTCTGTTTGTTTGTCTGTTTGTTTGTTTGAGTAAAGATTTGTTTGTTTGTTTGAGTAAAGAGAAGCACATCGGCACAATAACGGTCATTTAGCGGTGGGAAAAAGTAAGACAAAGAGACAGAAACAACAGAGGGAAAGTAAAGAAGTAGGACCTACCAGTGGCACCCTCCAACCACCCACACAGACAGACAGAAACAACAGAGGGAAAGTAAAGAAGTAGGACCTACCAGTGGCACCCTCCAACCACCCACACAGACAGACAGAAACAACAGAGGGAAAGTAAAGAAGTAGGACCTACCAGTGGCACCCTCCAACCACCCACACAGACAGACAG